GATGTTAATGGTTTAACCCTGCTGAAGCAGAACCCGTCAATGTTTTCCACATTGAAATGTTTCTGAATTCTGGCTCTGTGGGAAATTTCGGCTTTTCATGCCGAAGCCAACGGCTCCGGTGATGGGTAGGGCCTGTGCGTGCCACCGTTCCAAGCACACATCCCCCCTGCCCCCGACCTCCAGCCTGGGGAGGGGGTGGTATTTTCTGCTTGCATCCGGTTAAGTTGTCACCCCAAACCCCAGTGAGCGGTGACGACGGGGCGCGGGGGAAGGGGGCTCTCGCCCCACAGCACTGACGCCCGCCCACGTCTGCCCCCGGGGATTGTGGGTAGCGTCCCGGCCCCGCTCACCTGGGAGGGTCTTGCAGACGCTCATGTTCTGCTGCAGGGGCCGGTGGCTCAGGGCGCAGCAGACGGACCCCCTGGGGCGGGGCATCAGCGACAGGCTGCTCCGCACCTCGAAGGCCCCCTGTCTGCTCCGCTGCAGCTCCACCGGCTTGTCCTGGCTGAGCCGGGTCCCATTCCCGTCGTGCCACGTTATCTCGGGCTGGGGGTAACCCCCCGCGGAGCGGCACTGCAGGGCCAGCCGCCCCCCAGCCCGGGAGAGCACTGCGAGCTGCGGGGGCTCGTACGGGGCTGGGAAAGGAGAGATCCATAAATGCAGGAACACGGGAATTGCTGGGTGAGGTTCTCCTGTCTGGGGCATGTGGGGGGCTGGCCTGGGCCTGTCAGATCTAGGACTACCAACAGTGTGAGATATGAGCCGCCCCCCAACCCCGCATTGCAATTCTCCTGGGGTCCCCCCGGCCAGTGCAGGGAACACGTGGGGTGTGTTGTAATACCTGGGCTGACAACGCTGCCCTGACCATGGGCGTGAGAGCTCACGCTGTGCGCCCTCAGCCCGCACCAGCAACAACCAATGGGAGCAGCACGGCAGGGAGACGCAAGGACTGATTAGCCGTGTCGGGATCAGGAGAGACGTGCCATCCAAACGACATCAAAACCCTGTGATATGGGGCCGATCACAGGGCGCGTCTGTCCTCATCGCACCCACCGCCGCCAGGTAAAGAAACAGACCTTAAACTCTTTAAAGAGAATGTTCCTTCTGGCCGGGAACCACTTACCAACAGTGGTGACAGTGAAATCCCTACGTCTCTATTGTTTTGCCTTTACGGTTCCCACGTCTCTGTGGTTTATTTGTAGGGTTCTGTCCGTTGCAGAACTAATTTGGTAAGGTGTAAAACAATGAAAGTGGTGGGGTATGATTGTGTAAAGAATTGTTTTACATGATGGTAGGATTGGTTAGTGATATTTTAGCAACTCCAGGACACAGCCCCAGAGATCAGAGCTGCCAGACCTCAACGCCCTGCCAATCACAGTGTGCAGGAAACTGGACTCCCCCAGAGGACCTGATCCTGACTGGCCAGCAGGAAAAGTTCACCTGCCTTATTGGGAGTGGTGAGCGTTGCCTGCGTAGCGTGTGCCGTCTGGTTTGGGGATTGTTAATAAAGAGACGTTACGTAGGATATTACTGTGTAAGGCTCTTTCACTGGTAAAAGACCCCGTAAACCCACAAAAGATTAAGCCCTGAGCCCACAGGGAAAGGGGGTTTGCCCGAAGCCCACGGAGGAGTAGAGCCTGGAGCCTCAGAGGGGTAAAGTTCGGTGCCTTTTGCCTGGAGCCCGAGGGACTGGGAAAAGGTGAGGTGTCCTAGAGTGTCTGCGACAGAGAGTTTTGTGCGGGTAACACCCGCTGCCCTGTTTATCTGCAGAGCCAAAGCCTCCCTTGCGGACCCTGCCGCCCAAGACCGCGGCTGTGGATGGGCCCAGGTGCCAGCCTGCAAGGAGCGTGCGCACCTGATCTGGGTGCAAGCGGTTACCTGCCACGTGGAGGACGATGTCCATGATGCTGTCAGCCTGGCTGTCCATGATGAAGCACCGGTACGTGCCGCTGTCCGAGGGCCGCACACCGGTCAGGCTCAGGGCCACCACCCCCTGGCGGATCCCCTGTAGGAGGAGCCGCATCCGGCCCCTGAACTCCTCGGCCTGGTCTCCCAGCTGGTCGGCCCCCGCGTGGTAGCTGTGCACCACGGAGCCCCCCGCCGGCTCCCGCAGGAGGTGCCAGTGCACGCGCAGGTGACGCAGGTCGGCTTTTGGGGGCGCTCGGGCCCTGCACACCAGCGTGATGTCCTGGCCGGCCCGGGCCCAGAGCTGGGGGCTGTCGCTCGCCTGAGGGGCCGTGTCTGAGAGAAGGGACACACACGAGAACCCGTGGGAATGAGCCCACCACACTCAGATTGGGCCCAGGACGGCTCCTGACTTCGGAGAGCCTCACTGCAGCCACCAGGGCCTGGTCTGCAGATGGCCCTGCGCTGACCAGGCTCCGGT